GTGGCGACCCATCGAAAAGTATTCTCTCACCGCATCCTGCTTGTCGCATGCCATGTCATCAAAGATAAAAATAGAATTTGGACGCGCCTCATTCGGAGGAATGACGTCGCTGTTGTTGGAGAACGTAAAATAGCCGATTTCGTCGATAGACGTAAACAAATTTTCGAGATATCGATACTTTGGCTGTTGCAACGATTTCGAATAGACGTACACATTCTCGAAACGTACACCGTTCGGGCTGTCGAGTAAGCTTATGAGAACGTTGGTTTTACTGCAACTCGGCGGGCCGCAAATGATTGCGCGTATAGTACTCGGCAGCATTTCGCTTGCGCTTCTCCGCGCTATCTTCCATCAATCACGATTTCGCGTCAGTTCGTATCGTCAGCGGTTGCAGCATGAATTTTATGCTCACACTACAGGCTGTGCGCTCTCGAACGACTATTTAAAGACGTGCGAATCCCGCGAATCGCGCAGTAACAAAATGTATCTCGCGCTGAGTCATCCTTCCGATATTCGAAACTTGAGCGCCGAGCAGTTACAATATATACCGAAGGTCGTACTTTTACGCGTGTACGGCGATTACATCGAACACGTCTGGGACCAGCTTCTGGAACACATGAAGGCAGATTCGTAGGTTCGAACCTATCGTCGGTGCGACGAGCACTACAATTAGCCGTGGCAGCGAACGCACATCGATGCACATCGACGGTCCCGCCCTAAGATAAAGGACTGTAACGAATGTCAGCGTCGGGCGGTAGTCTGTTGAATCGAGCGGTAAACGCGCTTCCTTTCGAGTTACATATTCCGGGCTACCAGTTTTGCGGCCCAGGCACTCGACTTGCGAAGCGATTAGCCAGAGGTGACGCGGGCATAATTCCGCTGGACGCGGCGTGTCGAGAACACGACATTGCGTATTCGCACAGCAACGATCTCATCGATAGACACGCGGCAGACAATATACAATACTAGCTGAGAAGGCGCGGAAACGAGTGATTACCGCGAGTGATTCGGCTCTGGGCGAGAGAGCCGCCGCTGCTGCCGTCTGGGCAGCGATGAAAGCCAAGATCAAGATCGGCATGGGCATGAAACCGAAGAAGAAGACGACGACGACGAAGAAAAAGACGACGAAAAAGCGGATACTTCCAACTGCGAAACGAGATGGTGCGTTACCATTTCTGCCAATGTTGGGCACGCTCGGGTCCTTGATCGGCGGAGCGGCCAGAGTGGCGAAAGCGGTAAACGACAATAAAGCCGCACGACGTTAGTTCGAAGAGCTGCAACATCACGACCGCGCGATGGAACAGGGGCGCGGACTGTATCTCGCTCCGTACAAATACGGACGCGGACTGTATCTCGACCCGTACAAACATGGACAGGGTGCAGCTGCAAAGAAAAAAAAACGCCAAAGAGACGATAAAAATGCCGTCTGGAGCAACTACCAATGTGCAATTAAACTAGCTCGCGAGACGTATGCGCATACCATACTTTAGAGGCGTTTTCATGCGTAACGCGTTAAACGCGCGCGCGTCGAAACGAAAGCGGTATCGTGAATCTGGACGATGCGACGGGGCCTGGTACTCACTGGGTAGCGTACGCGAAGAGGAACAACCGCGTCGTATACTTTGACAGTTTCGGTAATCTTCGACCTCCTAAGGAACTGGTGCGATATTTCAGGATCGGTGCTACGACGATAGAGTACAATCGTACGTCCTATCAGAAGTACGATCAGAGCTTCTGCGGACAGATGTGCCTGCGGTTTCTACAAACGGTAGACGTACGTGAATTTAAAAAGCTCGGCGAGATGCTGTGAAATCTCAGTATTAGTCGAACACCGTCATGTCGCTGACGCTTACGCTGAGCGGGAAGAGCACCGTCCTCGCGACAAACTACTTTCCCGCCATAGAGTTGAGTGACAGCGATTACGAGTTCGATCTGGCGATTTTTGAGACTTATCACACGATACCGAATGTGAATAAATCGAACAACAAATTTTATTTTGCTAAAGATGATGCGGAAATTACAATTCCCGAAGGTTCGTACGAAGTGCGAGACATAAATGAATTTCTGAAACGCGCGATTTTACGGAAACGTCCGCACCGCGACGCGCTTGAAACCGTTGACGTAGTGCGCGGTGACAATAACAATGACGCCGATGATGATAATGTGAGGGTGGAGAATACCCGATTACGCTCCGCGCAAACTACAACACGATGAGATGCGAGATTAGATGTGCGTACAGAATAAACTTTGACAAGCCCAACAGCATTGGATCGCTGCTGGGATTCTCGTCGAAGCGCGTACTGCGACCGCGAAGATGGCACGAATTGGACATGTCGATCAACATAATGAACGTAAATGTTATCCGCGTAGAGTGCAACGTGACCGCGAGTGCGTACAGCAACGGCAAAAGCGCGCACACGATACACGAATTTTCACCGAGCGTGCCGCTAGGATATAAGATATCGGAAAGGCCGGCGCAGATCATTTACCTACCGATCATCGCACGGATCTAACGATATGCGTCGTCGACCAGAACAGATGATTACGAGGAGATTTTCGAGGAGAAGAGATCACCGTTAGATTGCACGTACGACGTCTGCAGTGATAACGTGAGTGTGAGATTCTCGTGTTGAATGGAACGCAGCACGCAGAGAGATAACGTATTTTTTACAAGGCCGACGACGTCACAGCTCGATAACACTCGCTCATCCAACTGCATTAGGAAGAAGAAGAAGCTCAGCGCGTCGAACATTACATTTTTAAAGTCTTTGGGATTTGCGGTGCGCAACATTTGAGATGACTGATATCCTAAACATTAAAAGACGAGTCGATCTTCGAGGATCGCATCGTCAAGATTGAGACTCACACGTACAACCCGTTCGCCAACACAACGTTCGGGTACAACGACAAGATAAGAATACCTATACAGCAACAGGATCTATACACATTGCCGTACGAAAACTTTCTATAGTCGAGGGAAACCTGACGAAGAACAAAGTGGTCCAGCTAACGTGTCATTGGGAAATAATTGCGTTGCATTTATATTCGATGAGATTCGATATGAACTCAATGGTGTGGAGATTGATCGTAACAGAAACGTGGGCATATCTAGCATGATCAAAAACTATGTAATAGTGTCATCCAACAGAAGCGTGATTCTGCGGAATGCAGGCTGGGATGCGCAGACTACTGCGGCCGGATACTTTAATTTCTATGTACCGCTCTACGTTCTGTTGGGATTTTGCGAAGATTATAGACGTGTGGTGATCAACGCTCGTCACGAATTGATTTTAATACGAGCGCGCAACGACAACAATTGTCTGACCAGAGATTCGGCGACAGAGCCGACACTCGAATTATTCAAAGTACAGTGGCGAATGCCGCATGTGTTATTGAGCGAGATAAATAAGCTGTCGATGCTGCGCGCTTTGGAGAGCGGACGATATCTGAGTATGGCTTTTCGCTCTTGGGATCTGTACGAGTTTCCGCTCTTGCAGAGCACAACCAAGCATTCGTGGGCCATCAAGACGACTACTCAGCTCGAGAAGCCACGCTACGTCATTTTCGCTATGCAAACAGGTCGAAAAAATATCATGTCTGAGGATGTAAGTCGATTCGAGTTACCACCACTTTACTTTACACTGCAAATTAACCAATGCTAAACTCTACCTGAATACGGAATGTTATCCATACGATGATTTGAATCTAGATTTTGATAAAAACAGATGTGTGATTTTGTACGACTTGTACGCGCGTTTCTGCAAGGATTACTATGGATACGAGTATCTCGAGCCGAGTTTCACCTTTACAACTTTTTTACGTAATGGCCCGTTCGTGATAATCGATTGCTCTCGACAGAACGAATCGGTCAAGAGTGGCACCGTGGACGTGCGATTAGACTTTGAATGTAAGGAGAACGTGCCCGCAAATACAACAGCCTATTGTCTCATCATACACGATCGTGTGGTTCAGTATAATCCATTGATCAACGTTGTGCGCAAAATCACCTAAGTGCACCTCCGACACGATATAAAATCTACGATACGCCGCAATCGATTGCAGTATTCTCGACAACATGTCTATGCCAACGTTCGTGGATCTGCAAGGATTCATCGTTAACAAGAAATTTATCTTGAAGGAAGTGGCGGTGCTGAAACAGGGGACCGTTCTCACTCATTATATTTTTACGAGTCCCGTACCATGGAAATTTTTGACAAGATCCGACAGGTCTTGCGCTTCCTGGTTGAGTGCTTATCACCATGGATTGTGATGGGAGGACGGGATGGTTTCGTACAACGAGGCGAAACGTCACAGCAGCTGTATTTGAAAATGATGCTATTGTGTACGTTAAGGGACGCGAGAAACGAACGTGGCTGTAGAACTTACTTCTGGACGATGAGCGAGAACGCATGTATTATATATCGACACCTTAGATGCAGTTTACGAAGACATCGAATCTTTAACTAATCTGGATGTTACTATGCGATGTGGACAACGTGTTAAGAATTGCGCGTTACAAAATGTATTAAAAATATATAACTGGTGGTTGCAAAAGAATTTTTTAAATAAAAATATGTTAACGTATTTATTACATATTTCTTTTTTCTCTTCCTTTATGATGCAAGTACTCGTATAAACGTATACTCGTATGTATAAACGTACGTATGTATAAATGTATATGCATAAACGTATGTATAAACATATTGTATGTATGTATAAATGTATGTATGTATGTATAAATGTACAATACGTATAAACGTATATGTATTGTATAAACGTACGTATAAACGTATGTATAAACGTACATATAAACGTACGTATAGGCTTGTGACAAAAAAAAATATGTAGAAAGACGTTATAAAACATATCGCGACACGTTTGAAATTCTTGGGAAGAGTGAGAAGGACCTGTCTCTCCTCTTCGATTATTACCATATACGTCTCAATTTACGCGGATGCAATCAGTCTTGCGATACCTGCTTGTACGAACGGTTAAAAAAAATGTACTTCGCCAAAGAGAGCAGCGCATCGTACGACGTGAAGAAGGAATATAATATGTAAGTTTCAACATTCTATACACAAAAGAAACGTTTTTTTTAACATTATGTATGCAATCCGCAGCATCGTGCGATGCGTTTACTGAGCAGACGTTACGATCTGACGAATACGGGCTATAAATTTTTGGAAATTGGAATCAACGTTGGTCCACCGAGTTACGGAGATCGTTCTAGGAGATCATCGCGGACACGAACTGTCGCTGTCTCTCGAAACTTGGAAGAGTCTCTACGAGCAGCGATGGAATATTTACAAAATGCTTCGAAATGAATACAAGGACAATTTTATAAGTGTTGAACCGCTAATCATCAGAGTTTGTATGCTGAATGATGCTATGCTCGTACGTCTCGATTCTTCGCTGGTACGCATTACGATGACCGAAACGACGCTACGTCGTATGTTTGACTTTGACTGGTGTATCGATGTAACGTTCGTACGATTAGCCCGACTCGTCGATATGGTTGATGCAAAGTATACGCGATTCTCCAATACGTCTGAGAACACCATACGCGACAGCGACTTCTTCAATAGGCGTCTGCTCATCGATTGCGAGCTATTAACTTTACTTTTTAATGAAAAAAAGAACGATGTAATAACATATGAATAAAAAAATTTTCGTCCACGTCATTTTATATATGTACTTTATTTTTTAGTCTCCATCCGTCCATCCATCCTATACCTCGACGCGCTATCACACTCTGTTTATATAAACATCTGCTAGCGCTTCTTTTAAAACGTCTAGGGTTCCATAGTCTGGCAACTTATGATCTAAAGTGTTTAATATACAATGATCGTTCTAGCAGCTTCGTCGCAGCAAAAGATGCTTTTCAGCGTCAGTCTTTGTTGAGTTTCATCTGTGCGAGGTTTGTGTCTTTTTTTTTTCGAATCAGTGAATTTGTAAGCGATTTTTTAGTATTGTGCAAAAGTATTCTACCATTAACGCTAAGTGGTAGAATACTTTTGCATGTTTTGTGATTAAGTGTTAGTGATAGTGATAATTTTTTTTCTAATGCAACTACATAATGAGTGATAAAAAATTGCGAAAGGTTGAGAAGGTTGCCTCCTCCTCCTCCTCCTCCTCCTCCTCCTCCTCCTTTTTCAGCGTAGGGTATTATATACGTTGTGTATACGATGAAACTATGTCGATATACAAATCTTATCGCGGCGAGGATTGCGTATCATGGTTTGTGAAGGAATTACGATTTGGCGCATTGTGCGAAATGATATTCGATAAGAATGTGACTATGGCGGAGTTTACATTGAACTTCGAGTGGGAAAAATTTCGAAACGCGACTCACTGTCATATCTGTGAAAGACCATTTGAGGAAGGAGATTTGCGCGTACGCGATCACTGTCATTTAACCGGATGTTATAGAGATCCTGCACATTCACGTTGTAATTTACATTATCAAGATACGTACGTTATTCCTATATTCTTTCATAACTTGGCAAGTTGTAACGCGCATTTTATCATAAAAGATATTGCTAATAGTTTTGCGGAGAATTGACGTGTTACCTATAATGAAAGAAAATTATATATTGTTTACGAAACATGTCAAGGATACAGTAAACTTTAAGTGGGGAACGGACTGTGTGAAATTGCGTTTTGTGGATTCGTTCAAATTTCTCAATACTAGTCTCGAGAAATTGGTATCATATCTCGACAAGAGTAAATTGAAAATCATACGAGAATTTTCCAATCTTGAGGATTTTGATCTGCTTACGCGGAAAGGAGTGTTTCCGTACGAGTATATCGACAGCGTTGATAAGCTAAACGAGACTAGTTTACCACCGCGTGAGTTGTTTTATAGTTCATTGACCGACGAGACTGCTTCCGATGACGATTATTAACACGCGTTTGGCGACGCATAGAGACTCTCGGCGATTACAGTGATTTGTATCTCGAGACAGATGTGCTTTTATTAGCAGATGTTTTTGAAAATTTTCGTGATACGTGTATTGAGAGTTACGGATTGGATCCGACGTATTATTACACTTTACCGGGATATATGTGGGACGCTATGTTGAAATACACTGGTATTCGATTCGAATTATTCACCGACATTGATTGATGATTTGTGGAACGTGATATACGCGGTGGTTTAAGTCAATGTTCACATAGATACGCGCAAACTAATAACAAGTATAATGCATCTTCGTACGACTCTTCGGAACCCTTGTATCTCATGTACTTAGATGTGAATAATTTGTACGGTTGGGCGATGTTCGAATCCTTACCATACGGAGAATTTCAATGGGTCGACGACATCGAGCGCTTTGACGTAACGTCTGTGCCGTCAGACTCCGTTATCGACTATATTCTAGAAGTCGACCTTGCGTATCCGCAAAGCGTTCATGACGCTCATGCTGACCTTTCATTCTGCCCCACTCGCGAACGGCCTCCCGGAAAATGGAATGATAAACTGCTGGCCACTCTTTACAATAAGGAGCGCTATGTCGTGTACTATCGCAATTTGCGATACACACAACAATACATTCAGCATGGACTATACGTAAAAAAAATTCATTGAATATTACGATTCGCACAATCCCCATAGCTTCGCGAATGTATCGAACTTAATATGAGATTTAGAATGCTTGCGAATAACGAATTTGAGAAGAATCTTTACAAATTGATGAATAATGCGGTATTTAGAAAAACGATGGAAAACGTACGCGATCATGTTGACGTTCGACTTATAACGCGTTGGAATGAGAGATACGGTGCGGAAGCGATGATAGCGAAACCGAATTTTCACAGTAGAAGTATTTTTTCTGAAAATCTAATTGCTGTCGAATTGCGCAAAGTCGAGGTAAAATTGAATAAATCGATATACGTAGGTATGTGCATTCTCGAAATATCTAAGTTGCATCTATATGAATTTCACTATGAGTATATAATACCATTGTATCCCGATAAATGTAAGATTATGTACGCGGACACTGACAGCTTGATTTATCTTCTGGAGTGTGAGAATGTATACGAGGATATCAAGCGTGATATCGCGAGATTCGACACGATTATCCTGAGAGAAATGCGAATGATATTTCACGCGTTAATAATAAAATACTCAGTTTGATGGAAGATGAAAATGGTAGTGCGATTATGACGGAATTCATAGGACTCAGAGCGAAAATGTACGCATTGAGAGTGATCGGAAAGAGCGATACGAAGAGAATAAAGGATGTCAATAAAAACGTAGTCGCGAAAACGATCACTTTCGACGATTATGCGCGATGTTTGAACGATGTAACGATACAGTCGAGACGTCAGTCGTGCATACGATCGACATTGCACGAGGTTTACACAGTGTCTGAATTGAAGCTCGCTCTTAGTCCGTGTGATGATAAGCGGTACGTCATACCCGAATCGGTCAATACTCTATCTTGGGGACATTATAAAATACTTTTGTAATGTGTGTGCTGTATTTTTATTGTAATAAATAAAAAGTTACAATACATTCATTTTATCTATCCAAGAATTATGTGAACTATCCATCCCTAACCATTTCACGTACACTTTATTTCCTCGTTTGTGTAATATTTTTTTCACAAGATAACCAGGATTAGAAACTCGCTGTAATTCGTGTTCGTATAATCCACCAGCTATCGGCTTCCCTTGATAATCTTTCAGTAGATATGTTGCAGGATTCGTACGTTATGTTTTAACGATGTAGAAAATCTCGGTGGACCAATTAGATGTATAACCCTTTTCAAAAATTGTCTTGAATTTATTAATACGTACTGGATCGCTTATCTTGAATCGTTAGAGCGGCAATTTTTACATGACTGTATACCGTCGTCAAGAGTCGTTTTGCAACGACGAATGTTACGTTTATCGGTCGCATCCCAATAGTTCGATGTTTATGATGATTATAATCTGACAATAGACGCGGTAGCTCGTCGATCCATTTGTACGAGTCGTTTAAGGTGAACGTTTTCCACATGTTATTCTTGAGTGTACAGTTAAATCGTTCCATTACCGACGCTTTCATCATCGAATACGTTGAATAATGATTTATGTTGTATCTCTTCACAATTTTTTTTGCACGGTAGTGTTGTAAAATTCTTTTCCTTTGTTCCGTCTGCAGATTTTGTGGGTATTGTTCGTTCTCGCGAAATATTTTAGATAACGCTGCGGCTACGTCGCTTCCGTTCTTGTTCTTGAATGGTAGAGCCCATGCGTATTTACTCAAAACATCGATAACTGTTAAAATGTAATTGTAACCTTTGTTGAATCGCGCGTAAGGACGCATCTCGACTACGTCGGCTTGCCATAAATCATCGCGATCGTGCACCACGACGCGACGACGTGGAAAATTTCTTCGCGCGGGTGCGTGGAGTTCTTTCACGAGTTTTCGTTTCTCCACTCATCTCTCTCTGTTATGACAAGAAACGAGCTTTGCGCATATCTTTTAAACCTTCCTATCCGTAGATGCGATAACTGTAGATGTGTTTAAATACCTAGACACCTCGATTCAGATACTGAATCTCGTTCTCGTTACACACTTTCGTTAATATTGTTGATGCAGATCACTTACACTGCGATGCAGCATTTAAATATCGTTAGACACTTTCTGAAGCGCGCGTACGATTATATCTCTTCCTGTCGTTTGAAACGATTTCTCCAATATCTCATTAGTCACTACATTTTTCATTCGTACAGTTATATCTCGATTCAGATGCTGAATCTCGTCAGACATCCTCGTCACGCTCTTTTCCACGTTTCTTCGCATCTTCTCCACATCGCTATGCACTTCCTGTGTATCTCTCCTTATCGTTCTAAATTATTCCTTGATCGTTTCGCGAATCTAGAAGCGTGCGTTCGAGGTAGGTTTTGTTTACCACATCGGTGTCGAATTCCGGTGTAGCTACGTGTTCTATTTTTCGTTTCTTCGCGTCGTAATAATCCGGATTCAGCCCACTGTTGTGTACGTAATTTCGTAAAGTTTCTATCGACGATTGCGACTTTTCAATTTCGTCTCTCCTCATAGGCATACCAAATTTATTCACAGACATCATATCGAATTCGCGCGAACCTGACCACTGTCGCGGTTTTCGTCACAACGATTCACTTTATAATTAAACTCAGTTTCGCAAAGTACTTCTTTCCATTTCGCGATGCATTTCGCGACGCAATTGTAAAATATTTTTTTCCAACTCTTTATTCGTCACCACACCTTGAAGTCGTTCTTTAAACGATTTCTCTAATATCTCATTAGTCGCTACATTTTTCAGTTACATTTCGATTCAGATACTGAATCTCTTCCATGT